TAGTCTAGAAAACAGCAGCCCAAGACACTGTCTAACATTAATCACAGATGCAAACTTAGACCAAAAGGAATTCAAAGAGCTCAAAATGCGTACAGAATCAATAGAATTCTGATTTATGGAATGCTTAGGAAATAATAAAGAAATATTAATTATCTACTGTCTGTTTTAGCTCTTTGATGGAAATATCTTTTAAATGTTTTATGAATCATAATTTTATTATGTAAAGATGCTTACGTATATTACTAGGAAATTGACAAATACCAGATCTGGATGAGGAGGCAAAGAAAATGAATTTTCTGGCTTCAGGATAGCTATGAAATTCTTTGCTGGATAATTCTGATCTTAAATAACTTTGTTGTCATTTGTTTCCTACTGCCCTGAATTAAAAGCAAAGAGTTCAGGGGGCTGGAGAGATGGCTCAGGCTGCTCTTCCAGATGTCCTGAGTTTAATTCCCGGCATCCACATTGTGGCTCACAACCACCTATAATGGGATCCGCTGCTCTCTTCTGTAGTGTAGGACACATGAAAGCAGAGCACTCATATACATTTAAAAAATAGGAAAGAGTCAGATAAGCCTGCCTATAACTGCTCAGAGTTACAGTTCACAGTTCTAGTAAAGGTATTATCCCATGTAAGGTTGACAATTTTAGGAGTTTAGTGGGAAGTCTGTATTATGCATAAAGTTTACTGAATTCTTTCAAACACTTTTCCATTCTCATAATATTGCCTAGCTGCTTAAAATGTGATATATGAAAAAATTACTTATAAATTTATGAACTCCTTGACATTTAAATAAATGAGTTAAAAATAACACGACTAGTTAATTTATCTTTAAAATACTTTTAAAGAGTTCTGAGCATTTGTCTTCTCTATTAAAACCAGAACTTCAGATTGTGTATGAACTTAAACACATTAACGATAAACATCCAGAAATTTTAGAACAGGGTTAGGCTTTGATTTTTGCAAGAAAGAACACAATCATCACCCATCACTTCAAATCTGTATCCATCCCTTACCTCCCATACTCCATCCTAAATTCTGGATGGAGGAGAATACAAACAGTGCTGCTTCTCACTATGACGGTCTCCCAGGGAACACAAATATGGAGGGCACTGGGACACAGCATACCTTGTTTAAGAGCACCTTCTCCGGCTCGGATGAAAGAGATTTCATTAGAATCAACCATGTGATGTGCACCATCTTGCAGAACAAACCGTAGTCCAGAAAGCTTGTGACCAGAAAGAGGGCCCTTTTCGCAGGCATCCAAAAACCCCTAACAACGAATGAATATAACTGCAATGAGATTTCACTTGCAGAGCATTACCCAAAATTCTAAAGCACGCTATTGCTCAGAAATGTAGTTTTCTTAAGCTATTAGCTGTCTTTCAGCTCTCAAAAATCTTCTGACTAAGTTGGAAAGGGACAGTACATGACGGGTGTGAGATGGCTGGAAAATGAAGGTAAGGGCACTCATCAACACTGCCCCACAACCTCAACTGCAGGAATGACTTAATACTCACTCCCTTATAGAGACCCAATGAAGGAAGGGAGGAAAGGCAAGCTAAGGTCACCAACTCTACCAATATGGATGTGTAGGCGGTAGCTGTGGCTTGAGCCCTATTACAGATCCATTACTACTTTGCTGTACTGGTATATCACAATATAAAAACCACCGTGTAAAGATGCAGGGTGTTGCTGAGAACTAGAATTGAAGAGAATTTCATTTTTCCAAATGCAACTCTCTTTTTGAAAGGCAGCTTCATCAAGGTATAATTTACATACAACAAAATGCATGTTTAGAGAACAGTGGACAAGTTTGCAACTTCTTTTCAGTCACTTAAATACTTCTAGAACTCCTCTAATTCAGGGACACAGCTACACACATAACAGATTATATTTCTGACATTTCAAAACTGTAAACTATGTATGCTGAAAACTATGTAAAGCCTTCTCTTTCTTCTGTGAATTTGAGATATCTGGTATTTAGAAGTGTGTGAATGGCAAAGGATTATCTTAAAGTAAGAGTGAAATACATTACCCACAACAACAATAAAAAATGCTATTACCACTGAAATCAAAATTATAACCTGCTGTCCAAACTAAACAATTGCTTAGAGTGCAGAACAAGCAACAGGGAAAGCAAAGCAAGTATTGAGGCTTCCTCAGTGTGCACCGTTCTCTGCCGTCTCACACATACAACCTTATCTGGCCTCAACAGCTTTGAAGGGGGCAGGCAAGCAGTTTACGCCCAATTTAACTAGTTCTGCCTGGATGAAGGGGCACACACCTTTAAGCAAAGCACTCAGGAAGTAGAGCAAGTAGACCTCTTTGAATTCCAAGCCATTCTGGGCTACATATAGACTATCTGTCTCAAAACAAACAAAACAAAGTAGCTCTTCATTTACCAAGAGCACATTCAGCAGCAGCAAAAATGTGGTAGAAAAGTACCCAGGTGCCAGGAGTCTTAACAAACAAGCATTCCTACATCAGCACACACAAGACTCATAAGCCCCTAAAACTACCACAAACTTTGATGAATGATTGCAATCAATGTAGTAGCATCAATTCATGAAGAGTGATTATCCATAAGATGAACAGAGCAACTTGCCATCATTGTCACAGCATGTGTTTACAGCCCCTCAACCGGAATGGAGGTTTGGAGATGGAAAGCGTGACAGTCCATAAAAAAGGATGTTTAACTAAAAGCAACCATGACAGACACAAACATGACAGAAGAGAACAGCATGATTTAAAAGCAAATAACCTCCTTTCAAATGCTACAGAGCTTTGTTAAACATTACCTTTTCAACTGCAGGCACAAACTGCTTTGGAACGTTGGCCCCAAAAGTTTCATCAGAAAACTCCAATTTAGTATAGTCTTCCGGGGCCAGGGGCTCCAGCACACCTATTACTTTTCCAAACTGGCCAGCACCACCTGACTGTTTTTTATGTGTAAAATCAAATCTGCAAATGATTTAGGAGGAGAAAACAAACAGAGCATGAGTAATTAGCAAAATGAAATAAACTCCCACTAATTTACACAAAATCCACAGCTCATATATTTTTTAAAACCTTTTCCTTTGACTAGCAAGGCCATACTATGGAATTTATTATAGAAGTTATTTAGAAGAAATTTTTTTCTGTTCTGACTCAGGGTGAATGAGAGGCATACCACCTAAGCAATTAAGTTTTTTCAATCTTCTAACAGGATCAGCCTGAGGCTTCTAACAACTCCATTCCAAAGAGTTCATCCAATTCTGGAACGCTACCCTTCCAAGTCACACAATGTAGTAAACAAGGATGATTACTTAAAATAAGAACTCTGATAGCTATAGCTAATCTATTTAGGCAGTTTCTACTTGATTTTACTATTTAGCATTATAGATATTGATGATTTAAAGCCAGTACCAGATGTAATAATTAAGACCTGAAAATGATTAATGACAAAATGCTAATAATGAGCATAAAAAAGGCTTTCAATGTCAGCCTACAATCCCAGTGCCAGTGAGTCTGGAAAACAAGGAGGTTCCCAAGAGAGATGCATGATACCCCAGAGAAATGGAATGAGGCAATATCTCCTGAGCAGATTGGGAACATCGGGGAGGAGAGAAGGAACCAAGAAAAAGAGAGGGGGGATAAGAGGAGGGGAGAAGAAGGCATGGGGGACCAGGAAGGTTGAGTTGAGGTAAGAATAGAGGATAGCAGGATGAGAAATACCATAATAGATCGAGTCATTATAAGCTTGAGGAGAGAGCTGATACTAGTGAGATCTCCAGAGATCTACAAGGATAACACCAACTGGCAAACTAAATAATGGTGAACACAAGTTGGGGAAGGGCTTAAGTCCTGCCCAGGATGAAATGACTTTAGAGATCCCCCCCCCCAAGGGATTCCTCCCTGGGGAATGATGTGGGGATTGGGTGGGGGTGGGGGGCTACCAGTGAGAGGTAGCTTTGTCAAAATACAATGTCATATCAAATGTAATGCTACTGAGAATTCTGCTGGGTTTCTTGCTTATCTCTAATTCATAGACTCATTTTTATCTACTTTATTTTTAATTTTTTGAGAAAGGTCTCAGTATGTTGGCCTGGGTAGTCTGGAACTGGGTAGTCTGGAACTGGTCTCAGTATGTTGGCCTGGGTAGTCTGGGTAGTCTGGGTAGTCTGGGTAGTCTGGAAGGAATCCCAAATACTGGGATTAAAAGCATGAGCCACTATGACTAGCCATTTTGACTTTATAATCATACTCAAGTTACAAGACAGTATTTTTTTTACCTTGTTCAATGCTCATATTGTAATATAAAATCAATAGTGTAAATTACCTGATCCTGGAGATTCATAATAACTTGTTTTCTTGAAGACAGTCTACACATTATTCAAATCTGAGTATAACGAACTGAATATTTACCATTGATGAAATTACAATAGGTAACTAAGATTTAAAGACTTAAGTAGGCTGGAGAGATGGCTCTGAAGTTGAGCGCACCGCAGAGGACTTGAGTTTGGTTCCCAGCACCCACACATGTGGCACAGAACTCCAACTCCAGAGGGATCTCATGTGCCTGCACTCACGTGTGCATATAAATACACATAATTAAAAATCATAACATTAAATTTTTAAGAGAGTCACTAAGTCTCATATTTCTAAGATCAGTGCAGTAAGGGAGGTCTGCACATACATTTTTAAGTTTTTTTTCTCTGATTCCAATTAGTCCCCTAACTTTATAGTATGTTTTTTTCTGCCTCTCCACTCTAGATCATACTCCAAAGAAAGCTGGGGTGAGCAAGCCAGTTCCTGGAGGCTCACAGTGGGAAAGGTAGGGGTGAATCACACCTGGACTTGGTACCTTGCCCTGTGAGGCCCATTTGAGGAAAGCTATTCCAATCTGCATGTAAAAAGCCAGGAGCAGCTGATGGTTTCTAGAGGACCCACTGGGGCATGGCTGGAAAGACCCGACCTTGCCTCCTGAATTCCCACCTTTCCTTCCTACACCTGCCAGAGCCTGCTGGAGCCAGAGGGAATGCCCGGGCTTTTCTTTAGGAGGCACCCGCCTACCCCGGGGCGGGGCCGGGCTCCTAGCGGCGGAGCCACAGCCCAAACAGTTTCCTGCGCTAAGGAGGAAGAGGGAAGGAAGACGCTGAGGCTCACACACATCCAACCCAACTGTAGGCTTCGCCGCCGCACCGGAGACGACTCGGCCGCCGCCCACTGCATCCACTGCGACCCCCTTAAACCAGGGCAGCCCGCACTCCCTGAACCCCAAAGATGGAAATCCCAGCCACCCACTATGCAGTCTCCAGAGCTGCCTCAGTGGCAGAGAACTGCATCAACTACCAGCAGGGGACCCCCCACAAGGTGTTCCAGGTGCAGACGGTCCAGCAGGCCAGCAAGGAGGTAAGTCCCGGGCCCGGGCTGGGATCTGGGATCCGTTGGCTCTCACCCTTCACCGCCGCTGCCCGAGGCTCTGCCTCCGAAACTAGCGTTCCTCCGGGTCCCTAGTACGGGACTCAGCCCAGAACCATTTGCTTTCACCGTCCCGCAGAGAACCCACGCAGACCCAGATTTTGTTCATATTAGTTCAAGGAATTGGGGAGATGCACGAGGTGGGGGCATCTTTCCCTTTTCCGTGGTGAGACGAGGTCTAGAGGGAAGGCATTCTCAATAAATACCCTGGAAGCTGTTACTGTTTTGTCTTTCTGCTGGCTGTCTGTCTTGGCCGACCGAAGCTCATGGCCTCCAAACAACTCCCTAAACTTTAAAGGCAACTCTTCGGCCCTTTACCCAAAAGGACGGGAAACTATGAGAAACTAGCCAGCCCCTTGTAAGAGAACAAAAGCACTGTGTGCTGCTGCCAGGCTCCGGCCACCCACATCCTGCCTGAGATGAAGCGTTTCCCGGGCTGAAGCTGGGCTAATGTTTAAGGCCTCAAGAGTGCCCCACCACGACACCCCCATAATCTGACACAACTGCTGAAATTTTTTGTTTATAGAGAAAAGGTTTTTATTTTTGAAGCTGTACTAGGTACGATAATTAGGTGTAAACTTCAAATTTATATTCTCATGTGAAAGTGGAATATCTAAATCTATCTATTCATAAGATTTAAGTATGGTTTGGCAGATCAAGAGACACAAGCACAAACAGCACATACACGCGTTGTTTCTCGATCACGTGGCAGCGATCTGCCTCTAATAATTCAGTCACTGGATGCTCTGATACCCTGGGCTTTAAGATAAGCCTCTCCAAAGGTGTATCCTATTGTCATTTAATCTGTGTACTTTGTATGCTTGTATCCATCTTCTACTCTAAAATAAATCAATAGAGACTGACAAATCAGAAGTAAGGCCTGGGGGAGGGGTGATGAGGTACAGCAATATATATATATATAGTCATGAAAAGTGGCAGAATGAAACCCATTGTGTTATGTTTAAAAAGATGCAAAGCTTACATGTATTTCCTTACACTGGCCACCCTCCCAGCCACGTAATAGTAATAAGAATGTCCTAACTAGAAAGATTTGACTTATTACAGTATCTTGTTTTCCTAATTTTAGGATATTCCAGGAAGAGGGCACAAGTATTGCCTTAAATTTTCTGTGGAAGAAATTATCCAAAAAGTAAGTTAAATGCCCTGTCTAGTGAATAAATTTTGATTCAGCATATTCTAATCACTTTTGCAGAAGGATTTGATCTTGGGCCTTTCCTATTGGTGCTGACAAGTCTCTGAGTATAAATGGCAGCCCCTCTGCAGGCGAAGTCACGTGAGCCAGCATGCACTGCCTCAGTTCTTTCTATTTAATTATTTAGAGACGGTCAGTTATTTCAGTTCAGATAAATCACCCTTAAAAAGATCACACATTCTCAGGGTCTGAACTCTCCTTGTATGATTGAATATAGTAATTTACTCTCCAGTCATGGTTGCTTTTTTATGCCTGCCTTTTAATTGGGTATTCAAATTAAGTACCTTTAGAAATTCAGGAGCAATAGAATGGCCAACTGTGATTCCAGTAATCCCTCAGTAATGAGGCAGGAAAGTTTGAAAAAATTTTTATGCCTGTCAAATTGTTAATGGAATAAATTTAAAAGAAAGAGCTGCATTTTGTGCCACAGCCATCTTGAAATTGTGGAAAGTTTGCCTTCTCCCTGAGTAGAACTCAAGACACTCACAAGAGGAAATTCCCTGAAAGGCATTTGAGCTGCTGGACAACCACTATCCCTTACTTTTATAGTAGGGAGACACTGCTGTGTCTGCATCTGGAAAAGACAGTGGTTTCAGAAGCAGAGAGAAAGGGTAAAGACCAAACTTAGAAGGGACCAGTCCTGTCGACATGGCAAACCAACAGCCACTAACAATGAAGTATAAGCAGTCTTAGGGTTAGCATTCCTAACTTCCTGAGACCTAGTCATTTACGATCATAAATGGCCATCTGTAAGATTGATCTTTTGTAAAAATGTTTCTAACAGCAAGTTACAGTGAACTGCACAGCCGAAGTTCTTTACCCTCAAATGGGACAAGGGACTGCACCAGAGGTCAACTTCACATTTGAAGGAGAAATTGGCAAGAACCCAGATGAAGAAGATAACACATTTTATCAAAGACTTATGTCTATGAAGGAACCACTACAAGCACAAAACATTCCAGGTACACACATAAAGCATGGGAAATCTGTTTTTCAAACTTGAGATGTATCTCTATTACCCATGCTCATAATTGTTTGATGTTAACTATGTTGGAAATAAACTGACTTTTACCAAAATACTTATTTCTAATCTAATCCAGCAATAAAAAGGAGGATCTGGAATTTTAAAATCCACGGCTTAATTTAGTTTTCACACACATTAGGACACTAGGAAGCATGACTAAAATTTTTAATTTTTTTAATCTAAAAAGGTTAGTATATACATTTAGCATATAAATGTCTCCTCTACCAGACAGTCATGGAAACGTGTCTCCACAAATGAAGCCAATTCGCCACTTAGCCTGGGTCGCCTGCAGTTATATAATGTGGCAGAATTCAACTGAAGACACGTGGTATAAAATGGCACAAATTCAAACCGTCAAGCAAGTGGTATGTAATTTCTCTCTACAAAGTGTGCTCTGAACAGTTAATACTGACTTAGTGCCGGTGTCTGTAACTGGATAGTGTTCCCGTTGCCGTACCAGTGACCCTGGTGGTGTGAAGGCCCTGATGAAGGGCAAGTTGAAGGGAAGCATCCAAAGCAACAGCACTGGTCCCCAAAGGCACTTGGCTTACCAGCAGAGAGCCCAGACATAGGCCTCTCTGCCTAACATCTATCTTCCCAACAATTGTGTCTGCTGAGTTTGCCTTCCCTGGTCACACATCACAGGCAGCAAATATTACCAAGGCAAAGCTAAGGATTTTCTAGGAAACATCTTCTAATGAGCAGTTTCTAGATTGCATTTTTATGCCAAGCAAATCAGATTTGGTTATCTATGATGCTTTATCCAGACCCTTTTCCAGAGTAAAAAGGGTTGAAGCTTTATTAGTATATGCTAGACAAAGACTCAGGCACAGTATACATTTTTAATAAATCATCCTATCTTTAATTTGCTTTACAAAAGTCCTGAGGGCCATTTTTTTTTATCACAAAGCTGCACTTCAAAACTATGAAGTTGTGGGTTAAAATTTAGCTAGATATTTATTTATTTATTTATTTGCATTCAGTTTAATACAGAATATTTCCTTTTTAACAACCTAGACAGTGTATTTGAATTGCTATTGTCTGAACTAACTGCATTTTTTCTCTACTGAATGGGGTTCCTTGGCTACCTAGAGACAGGACTGGCATTTCTGTCCAGAGAGAATCATAGCACTGTGGTCTTTGTAAGCTTGGACCAGTTCTAGTTGTTCCTCGGTGCATGCGTGATTCTTTTCTCTAATCTCTTTAGTTATGGTTTACTAGCCTCATGCTTTCTTAAGCCTAATACCATGGGTATGTAGAAATGCATCTTTCTAGACCAGAAATATATCTGAATAGATTCTTTAGTTTTTCCTCTTGGAGGTAAAATGAGGGAATATTCAACTGGTATCTAATGGGAAACAAGAAAGAGTACTAAGAATCAAAAGAGAGTTTCCATAAACTGCAAGAAAAGGGCTTCCTGCTGCCTCTTTCAGCATGCAGGCTGCACACTGCAGAAGAGCTGGAGCACTGTGTGTCTTCAGGGGCCTTTGTAACTGCGTACTAGACACCTATAACAGCTGGCAGGACAGCAGTTACAGCACTCGGAGTGAGAGGCCACAAACCTATTAAATGCTGCAGCATTTTGAGAAACAGAGATTCTGCTTTCCAAATGCATTTCCCAGATACCAACCTTGACTACAACATTCCTTTGAGGGGACTGAACTATCAAACCATAAAATCATCCTTATGAATTCTCAAGCTATGTCCAGCCTGTGATTTCATGCTTACAAGCCAGTGGTTTTATGCTTACTAAAAACAGCAGCAGCAGCAGCAAAAAAAACCTGACTCTCATTATATTATGATTTTAAAAGTGAGAATGGTGATTCTCGGGTTACATGTATAAGTACTGATAACTGGAGGAGCGCTCAAGCATGCTTGCCCATTACAGCCTCAATACAGCAAGGACAAACTTTGAGAAGTCTTAGCCTCATGGGCATAATACATTTCTGATGATGATTTTAACCTACACAGATGCAGTAGTTCTGTGTAGCTCACTGCATACATGCTTTTTATTCCTAAAGTAACAAACAGTACAGACCAAAGCTTTATTGTAAAATCAGATGATTTAGTCATTATATTTTACTACTGTCTGTCTGTTTTCTAAAGGATGTTATATAATTGGTTTCTTTTCGTGTGAATTCCCATTGCCATCGTTGACACTAAGGGCTTGTAAATAAAAAGCTACATACAGTATAATGCTCTTGAATAGCCACAAGTTGGAAAGTGAAAACAGAAAAACAATTTTTAGAGTAACAAATACAAAATAATGTTTTTTTAAAACATTGTTTGAAAGAGTATTTGTTTCTTCAACGTAAGAAAATAGTTGTCTGTCAGGCTAAGTTGAAGTCAGCTATGAGCTTCAAATTCTTTTCTTATAAATCAACATTAATTCAAAAAATTAAGATGTATTTGCCATAATATTGCTTAAACACTTTTTTTTTGTCATAGCCAAGAAATGATGACTTCATTGAATTAGACTATACCATTCTACTCCATGACATTGCATCGCAGGTAACATATATGACTTATCTTTATTTGATGCTACTTTGAAAATCAAGAATTCTTTTGTAGCCACACAGGTACCTTTATTCCTTTTGACTCTAAAAGCTAATGAAAATTCAAGCAGGTACCAGACTGTCTTTTTTATAACATCTGAATTTGTTTGTTTGCTGCTATTCCTGATGAAGGCATTTTAAATATTGCCAACAATATAAACTCAATTATGTTTTCTAATTTCATAACAGCATTAACTTTCTTTACTTGCAGGAGATTATTCCCTGGCAAATGCAAGTTTTGTGGCATCCACAATACGGCACAAAAGTAAAGCACAATAGCCGTCTCCCAAAGGAAGCAGGAGCAGAGTAAACAAAGACCCTAAGACCCAGATGAAATGGAAAAATGTTCCTAACGATGTGGATGACTGTCCTCATTGGCATCTAGCCTAATAAGCCAAGTAAATCCCACAGTGTCTCTTTGTCTTGGCTACAGCTCTAAGTTGCATAGATTCCATAATAAAGAGTATTACTACATAAAGATGTCTTCCCAACAGTAACAGTACTATGTATGTCCCCTAATAAAAAGTCCACTTCAGTCCCATGGAGTCTGATTGCATTGTGTACTTACGGCACAGGGGCAGTGACGGTCTCTCTAAAGGCCACTTTGGGCTTTCCTGTGATACAAGGGCAGCCATATTCTCTTTCCATTCTCTAAAATGAAGTGGAGGGGGGGGAGTAATATCGTTTGTATTTATAAAGTAAAATGAAAAAAATACCTTAGTAGCATTCAATGAAAAATAGTAAAAAACTGAACAGTAAATTTTAAATCATTTTAATAACTGACAACAATCAGATGTGATTTTCTATTAACTGACTTTTAACAAAACACACATAGTAACCAAGGCAGCTGCATGGAGCTGCTCTGTGATCCATACCTGAGCATAGATTTCCAGGTGTAACTCTCCCATTCCAGACACAATTGTCTCCTTGCTCTCAGTGTCATAGCGGACTTTAAATGTGGGGTCTTCCCGTGTAAACCTGCCAATACCTTTGGAAAATTTTTCTAGATCATTCTTTAAAAGAGGAAGAAAGGTCATTATAGGATTAAGCATGAAAAACAACTGCATATACATTGGCAATTAAGAAATAAAGAGGGTCCATATCTAGTTCTACTCAAACCCTTTTTTTTTTTTTTTTGGGAAAAAATACAACCTTGGCCACCACAGCCAAAACCAGAGCCCAGCCAGCTGAACAGGATTTTCTCTTCATACCAAGACAGAAAACAAGGGTCCAAGACTTAGCTGTCACTTCCTATCCCACTGACCAAACTATCCATCTGTGGGAACGGCCTGAGTGAAAGGAAGCGCCTGACACTTTTGGAGATCCTTTATATAATATAGTCAGCATGTTTACCAAGACTTTTCTGTAGAGACAAGCGCTTTTACTTCTCTTTTAAGATCAACAGCAAAGGAAATAGCACATCAAAACAATCTCCTTGGTTATCTGATATACCTTTGTACTTTAATTCCACATTGTAAGCAGGATAAGTCACACACTTCTCCCAACTCTTGAGATAGGGAGCATTCTATGAATTGTCAGAGTAGGCTCAATATAGCACAAGATCCTTTGCAGATACAAGAAGGCAGACAGAATCGTAAAGCAATACGATGATGAAAGAAAGGCAGGAACAGGACCCAACCCATTGCTGCCAGCATTAAAAATGGTGGGAGAGGGAAGGGAACACTGGAAAGGTGTTTCAGTGGTTGAGAGAACTTCCAGAGGACCTGAGCTTAGTTCCCAGCACCCACGTCAGGTGGCTCATGACCACCTGTAACTAGAACTCCAGGGGATCAGATGCCATTGACTTCTACATGAATATATCCATACACAGACAGACACACATACACATAATTTTTAAAAATCCATGACATCTAAAAATGACAGAGGAGACCATAAGCCAAAAAAGAGGTGGGTAGCTCTGGAAGCTAGGAATGACCCTGAAGTGAAGAAAAAATGGAAACCCCAATCATACACCCTTAGGAGACAAGTTCTCCCCACAAACGTGAGTAACCAATGAAAAGGTTTTTCCCTTAGAACTTCCAAGAAGAATACAACCCTGAGCTGGGGAGACAGCTCAAAGGGCTCCCATGGCTAGATGAGTGGCAGAGACACGAAAATCACTGGAAGGTAGCAGGCAAGCTAGCTGGCACACACATGGGTAAACCACCAAGAGACCCTCTCGTAAACTAGGTGGAAGGTGATGGTCAAAACATGAGGTTGTCCTTTGACCTTCATGAACACATGCCTGCACACACTAAAAGGGGCAGGCAGACAGACAGACAGACAGATACACACACATACAAATATATTCCTGCTTGATTAATTTAAACTGTAGTGAATCATATCAATCTCTGATCTACAAAACTATAAAATAAATACATTGGTGTTGTTTTAGGTTACTACATTTTTGGAAATTTCTTATGATATCAATAAAAAACAAACAGGTCCTGTATGAGGAGTAACAGTGGCAGCATTAATCACATGCTTGGAGCTATAATGCGTACTGTGCATGCTATCTCAAATTCAACTGTAATGTAAATATGTAGACAGAACTAACTTGCTCAAGGCCACACAGGCAGCACACATGAGGGCAGTCAGTCTCTAGGTTAGTGCATTTAAGTAACTCTTGACTTTTCTCTGCACTAGCCAGATGCCCCCCACTCAGCAGAAGCATTGGCCTTGCTCACTACCAAAACTCAAGGCTTTACAGTGAGAGAGATGTCATCAGTTGATTAAAATCAATTCACTTGTGAGAAGACACTTTTAATGCATAAGTAGACAAGGACACCAAAAATCCCCTGGTTCACATGATATCCTCTGTCATTGTGAGCTATTCACTAGAAGTTCTGAATGTAGGAACAAAAGGTACAGAGAGGCCTTTCATTTCTAACTTTGCTAGTGAGCCTTAGAAAGAACTTGAAACAAGCAAAGGTATCTTTCAGAGATGTAAGCCACAAGGCTTACCTCCCCCCCCCATGAGATCCCAAGAGGATGGGCTGTTTTCATGGTTTTTGCCCCCTTGAGTTTCTCTTTTCTATATTGGAAAATGATGTGGAAAAATCCCACAGGTTCTCAGTTGTTAGTAATGTATCCTAGAGGACAAATATGTAAATGATAATTCTCAGATGGCAAGATGTCTTAAAGTGTTCACTCAATACATAATGAATTAACTCCAACAAAGCAACTTAAAAACCAAATAATTATGGCTCAAGAGTGAACTGATTCCAAAGGAGAGCAATATGAATGCAAGGCATTCAAACAATTTTGGCTTTGTAGAATGCCAAATGATATCAAAACTAATTATATAACTGTAAAAACATTATGCAAGTTTAAAAGCCTAAATATGAAATTATAGTTGAAGTTTTAAAACATTGTCCCATTGGCTTGTGATGCCATAATAAGACACTTCAGTGTGTTACCACAAATCCATAAAATGTATTATAATCCACAAAGTGTTTAACTGTTCAACACTGTAAAGTATTGATAATGAAGTTTCAATACAACTTGAGACAAACACCTTTTTCTCCCCTTTCAATAATTTTAAGACTCCAAGAAGGTAGATGATGTTAACGATAAAGAGTTACTAAGTTCTCTCTACTGTTAAATGCCATCCATCCCTTCAATTACACTGAGGACCAACTACTAAATGAAAAGGCCCATCTCTGTACCAACAAAAGGAGCAGAAACCAGCTCAGTGCTGCTTTCTGCAAGACACCACATGCAACATGGAGAATGACCAAAGAAAGCTCAAGTTTAGAGCAATTTGTTGAAGCTTCAACTCCTACCTTGTTAGAAGGCTTCATTGCTACTGAAATGACAGGTTCAGGAACATGAATTGATTCCTAGAAAACATTTTTAAAGAAAACACAAAATGAAAGTTTTATGACTCAGTAATTAGCATACTACTTAACAACAAAACAAAGGGCACACTAGCCAACATCTTAGGATGGACAATATGGGTCTTCGTCTGTTTTGTATTAAAGTAAGAATGTAACATTAGTAAACTCATGTATACTTACATGAACTCCTAGCTCCCCAAATAAAGTAATTTATCTAATTTATTGATCTAACTATTTAACATAATCACTATAATGAAGTTAATTAAATATTGGCATATGGAATTCTTTTTTTGTGGGCATATATTCTTATTGCTTGTTCTACATTTGCTGCTGCAATCTTCTGATAAGTTATTATGTTTTATTTACAATAAGGGAAACAGAAGGGGACCCAGAGTCTTTATACACACATCTTATTTGATCAATGACAACTCTAAGAAGCAGGAACTATCTTCATGTTACAAGTCAAGTTACTAAAGGCTTGAAAGGACCAAAAGTAACTTGGTCAAGAACCACACAAGCAGTATTGGACAGAAGTGAGACTAACCAAGACCCACTTCCTTCAGTGTCTAAGTGAACAATTCCCACCACAACTAGCCACTTCATAATGCAGTGGCAAGCCTCTACTTATGTATGTAAGTTGAGTGTTTTGTGGACATGTACGTATGTGCACCAAGTTTGCGCAGGAGCCTGGGAAGGATAGAAAAAAGTGTTGGATCCCTGCAACTGGAGTTAGGTAGCTGTATGCCACCATATGTGTGCTGGAAACCCAACCTGGTTCCTCTGCAAAAGTAAAGAGAGCTCTTACCCACTAAATCATCTCTCCAGATGATGACAAGCACTTATATAAGGCCTAATCTAAAATATAAAATGTCCTTAATGAGATCTTAAAAATTGCCGATTTATGGATTTTGAATGGTCTTATAATAATCTACTAAACTCAGAGAATAATTTGTTGCTGTTGGTTTTTGTTGTTGTTTTGGTTTTTTTCTAACAGCCCTGGATATCCTGGAACATAGGCTGGCCTCGAACTCACAGAGATCCACCTGCCTCTGCCTCCTGAATGCTGGAATTAAAAGAGTATACCACCACCGCCTGGCATTAAGACACCTTCTAAGCATATACATGTTGTTATCCCCAAATTTATTCTAAATATTATAGTCTAGCTTTATAGTTTCCTAGCTTAGGAAGAGGTCATATTCCAGTGACTGATTTGATAAGTAGTACTCCACTGGGAACAGCCTGATAATGACAATAATTAAAAGTGAGGGCAGCAGACCTCAGGGGAGAAGAGCAGGAGCTACATTTTCCAGGTTTTATCTAGTAGAGATTTTCTTCCACATTTAAAGCTTTGGAGGACTGTGGAATGTTTTTACTAACCACTTATCTAGCTGATATTTAGAGAGCTACAACCAACAAAGGTCATGATGAACTTGCCTGTGGCATTCAATGCAAACCTTTGTAGCTGTTTTGCTGCAATGTAAAATATACTATCTAAAAATAGACACTTAAAATGCAAATGATGAGTAGCTTAGCAGTTACATGGCTTACCATAGAAAGGCCACTGTTATTTTTGTTTGTGAATGTGTCTCCACTTGCACAGTCAATGCCAAATAATGCACATATGTCTCCAGCATATACTTCTTCAACATCCTAAATAAAGACACAATGCAAATTATACTTGCACATAAAGTAAGTC